ATTCATTCTTAATTTACACTGCAAAAGAGTTGGATTCTCATGCAAAACATGACCAAAGTCTCAAGTTGGACGTATGACGGAGTATTTCTGTGCCAAATACACTCATTCAGGGTTCGTATAAATTTCTAAAAGGTTTTTTTTTTTTTGAGTATGGCCCTATATGACGTCATAAAGGGCAGAATTCCATGTATGGGCACTTCTCCCGGAAGAGTGCGAGAGCAAGACCACACCCATCAACGTGCTTCATTCAAGTTAGGAAGATGTTGGGATCCGATTCTGGATCGAATATGTAAGGAATCTGATTTTTAGCCATAGTTAATTTAAGTCAAAAAAGTTTTTGTTCCTGTTTTATTTGTGTAGATGTTACAGCTTGCAGATGATCTACTCTATAGGTACTCAAGATTAACATGAGAAACGTGTTATGTGTCTTTAAAAAAAAAAACTGAAATGCAACTAGGACTTGACTGGATTCTTGTTTGTAATGATCTATTGCTACAGGATAAAATCAAGTTCTGCACTACATTTTCCTTCTTGAATGTGTTTCACTCTGAAATACATCTGATTATAAAAGCAAAATGATTTGAAAACAACATTTGACATTGACTTTAACCTGTTATGTTTGAGATACCTTGTCTTTCATTCTTTGCTACTCTCTTGTTCCCTTTAATCATAACTGGTTTGGAACCTTATAAAATAATGTTGTTTTAGTAATACTTACATAATAATAATAATAATAATACAATCTTGACAATCTTTATGTTTATTTCCATAAAATGTTTTATTTTAAATTTTAATTTTAAGTCAAGTTTAAGTTTAGTTAAGTTTTAGTCATTTTGTTGTGAGCTTACGTTATTTTATCTATATCGATTTTTTCTATAGTTTTTTTTCCTATATAGATTAATTTTTTTATTTCAGTTTTAGTTTCAGTAATTGTAGTTCTTCTTTTAAGCTTAAGTTTCATGTACTATTTATATCTTATTTGATTTAATCTTCATTTCAATAACTACAACAGTTTTAGTTCACAATAACAACATTGAAAATAACATTCTTGTATTTTTGCCACCACTTGTACTTTTACCCAACACAGCATCCAAAGACATATAATAGACACATTAAATGTTTTAATCTAACAACCATCTTTAAACACCATGAATTGTTTAAAGGCAGAGTAAGGGATTTCTGGTAGCCAATGTTGATATTTGAAATCACCAAAACAAACACGCCCTATACCCCAAAAGGGTCTTGCCCCTATTTTGATAGCTCCGCCACCAAAGAATGTGCAGGAGCTGGAGGATTTTTCTGAAGAACAGCAGGCAGTTGAACTGCTCAGGGCAAACAAGGGACTCTTAAACAATTATCACAAAATATAAACACTTGTGGATCATCCAGGTAATGACACAGTATTACAATTCACAATAAACTTTTGATCAGGGTCATTTTTATAAATTCGGTTATTATTTTGTCTTGTGAGGCATATGTAAACATCTGAAATAGCTTATTCAGGACAGAGCCAAATAAAGAATAACATGCAATTTTCACATTTTGCATATTCTGCAATGGATATGTAAACTTGTAAGCAGAACTGAATCCAACTAAATGGTGATCGGGAAGCTGTTTGGGGCATTTTTGTTACTTTTTTTGGCAGCAAATGGTAATTTTGCACACTTGCTGCAGTAAGAGATTAGATAGATAGATAGATAGATAGATAGATCTTTACCAATTACCCCTTTTTAGCAAGAAGTTTTTAATCATTTGAAAGTACAGGTCAGAATAAGTATGTTGATTAATTTTTACATAAATATATTGGCTACACTGAATGGCGATGGAACATTATTTCACCCATATTTTGACATTTTATTTTCACAAAAGTTATTTGAAACAGACACTTTACTTGCATTTAATATGCTGTATATAAAATCACTTTGGTAAATTTTATTTGATGCCATTACCATTATGGGACATCTGGTCTTTAACCGTCACAAACAGAGAACAGGGCAGAGCCAGAGTGAGGCATCAGAAAATGTTTTTACATTTTGTAATAGTTGAGTTCCTCAGTTGCCCTTAGTGTAAAAATATGGATCTCAAAATCATACAGTCACTGATAAAGGGGTCAAATATGCACAAGATGCTGGAAAACCAAAGAATGTGCAGGAGCTGGAGGATTTTTCTGAAGAACAGCAGGCAGTTGAACTGCTCAGGGCAAACAAGGGACTCTTAAACAATTATCACAAAATATAAACACTTGTGGATCATCCAGGTAATGACACAGTATTACAATTCACAATAAACTTTTGATCAGGGTCATTTTTATAAATTCGGTTATTATTTTGTCTTGTGAGGCATATGTAAACATCTGAAATAGCTTATTCAGGACAGAGCCAAATAAAGAATAACATGCAATTTTCACATTTTGCATATTCTGCAATGGATATGTAAACTTGTGAGCAGAACTGAATCCAACTAAATGGTGATCGGGAAGCTGTTTGGGGCATTTTTGTTACTTTTTTTGGCAGCAAATGGTAATTTTGCACACTTGCTGCAGTAAGAGATTAGATAGATAGATAGATAGATAGATAGATCTTTACCAATTACCCCTTTTTAGCAAGAAGTTTTTAATCATTTGAAAGTACAGGTCAGAATAAGTATGTTGATTAATTTTTACATAAATATATTGGCTACACTGAATGGCGATGGAACATTATTTCACCCATATTTTGACATTTTATTTTCACAAAAGTTATTTGAAACAGACACTTTACTTGCATTTAATATGCTGTATATAAAATCGCTTTGGTAAATTTTATTTGATGCCATTACCATTATGGGACATCTGGTCTTTAACCGATAGATAGATAGATAGATAGATAGATAGTCTGGTAAATGTATATAATATATCCATGTGGGCGTGGTTTGGGGTAAAATCCCCACGGTGGAAGCACTATGTGATGACATCACGTTTTATAGCTTATGTTGACATCATCTTTCCAGCACTCAGTGTGTCAGACACCACTTTTAATCAACTTTAACGTTAAACGGCTCATGAGATCAGCCCTGCTCTAATTATCAGACGTACTTTAAAAAAAGCGATCTCTTGTTTAACAGTGATGGTTCATAACTTATCAACAGAACAGACTGTCATAAAAAATGCAATACTCTAGTAGGCCAGCTGTCTAGAGGGGCTAGGTGATGAAATAATGTTATCTCATAATTACCGGAGGAAATGCACTTTATACCCAAACAAATATCCGTATTCAAAACAATCTGGCTCACACACAAACAACTTTCAGTCGCTTATTTCCTGGCGGCGCACTTTTAAAAGACCTTGTGGCGAGCGCAAAGATGCCGTCTTGTTGCCAAGTAACCACTACACGAGCTACGGCTGATAACGACTAATCCTCGCCGTAAACAAAACCTGTTTTTCACTCAGTCATTATTAAATAGCGGGCGGCGGGTTGTATTTTGTATTTCACTGGTTGCATGCACTTGTCTATGAGCAGTACAGTGTCTCTCTTACCTGAGCGTGAGAGCCGTGGTGGTCAAACATGTCCATTTGGATTTCCTGGGTTGAGGTGGAAGGCGTCCTGGACATTATTCCCTCCTGTACCATTGATTTAAACTTTAAATTCGGTTTTATTGTTTCATTTAGAGCCTGCTCTCAGTTTATTATGCATTGTAAAATAACTAAAGGTAAAATAAAAGAGACGAAGGTGGTTTTCCTCCTTCCTGTGGCTTACAGATGGCTTGTCACTGCGCTCTTGCGCCCCCAGCTCTGGCGGCGTTGAGCACAAACCCTCTCCCTTCGCAACTACAGCGAGCCTAGTCTCCAGCTGTTCAGCGGAGGGACAAGCCCCGCCCTCCTTCGCTTATCAATCAATCAGATATGGATGGGGCGGGGCTAGTCGACTGTCTTCGCACCGATTGGTTGATCGAATCGAAATTACTATGAGATGGACGATGGCTGCTCTACTCCCCACTCTACTGTGCATAATGGCATCGGCGCATTGCTGCTCCACATGAACGATAAATGACCCATCACAGTAGGCCATTGTTGCTGTTTTTATACACTATGGACAAAAGTATTGTGACACCCCCTTCTAATTAACAGGGTTGACTACATTAGTAATTTCCATGAGTACAAATCTTAAAGTTTAAGTATATAATGATATGCTAGTGAATTATGTGCTTCTAATTTTTATAGCAACAGTTTGGACAGGACTCTTTTCTATTCTAACATGACAATGCCTCTGTATATACGGCAAGGTTAAAAAAAATTGATTGATCCAGTCAGTGTGGAAGAAATCCCAGCTGAACACCTCTGGTGTGACTTTAAATGCAGACCTTGAGCCAAAAACTCATCACCAAACACCAATGACGTGTACATATGGGTACAGTAATTTTAGACACTTCCAAGACTGTTGCAACAGAGACAGATGGAAATACAATTTTTAAAGACATGAATTATGTTTTCATCTTTGTTGCCACAGTTTTGGAAGTGTCTAAAATGATTGTACGCATATGTACAAGTCATTGGTGTTTGC